ATTTGAATACATGCAAATGAAGTCTTTTTTAAAGATTGTTATGTTAAGTATCAATACATTTTATTAAATAATCGTAAATTTGCTTATATTTTTTGAAAACTGTCAACACTCAAAGAATCTACCTCTAAGTAAAGGTGAGGTTTCTTAGCGACGTATATTTCGCGGTTTGTAGAACGGGAAAAGTAGTGGGACACGTAGTACTTAGTGTTTTCCTCGGAAATGTAATTTTATATGTAACGTTACAAACGAAGCGTGCCAATAACCTAAAAGGTGTTAGCAATATTGTTGAAGAAAATTTGGAGGAGATAGATGTACTGATTGTGCTTTATATGGTGAGATTAGAAACCCTACCTGAGCATTGCTTGACATTAGAAACAACGAGGTAGTGTTTACAATAATTATTCATAAGCACCTGTTGACGATGCGAAATTTAAAGCGCGTTTGTAGCATCCGCATCTTCAAACTATTTTTTTAAATTGACAATCAATATCAACCAGATTTCTGACGTAAATCGTAGGACGGGTCATACGCTTCATGTGAAACGGAACATTATCCATTTCTATATGGAATTTTTGGGTTTAATCTTTTGTTTTATTTACATGACGGTTTGATATTAATATTTAAGGTTATATAAAAAGGAAAAGCAAAAATTGTAAAAAGCATCCTCTTACAGCATTATTAAAATTGACTTTTTAATTAAACGTTTAGAGGGTTTTGTTTTTCTCCCTTGACATAATTTTTGAAAACAGCTTGTTTTTGTTGGACATATATATGCAGAGTTGTTGAAATAATCCAGACGTATTGATATTGATTTAAACATTCCAATTCGGTTATTTGGCTCCAAATCTGTTTGGTTTGTTCATCTACATATGTACAACTTGATAACGATCGAAAAGCTACTTTCCATTGTTTACATGAAATACAACCAACAATTAAACGATTACACTATTATGTAGTTTGAATTCCACAAATACAACAAAATATAGTGTTATCGCAATTCAATTATGATGTTTATGTAAAATACTTCATTAATTTATTTGACTGTGGATTTAAGAGATAGGCAAATGCAATTAGTGTGTTTTGTGATAATCACAGTTAATAGCTAATTATTTAATATTTTAATTTTTAAATAATACTACTCTCGAGGTTATAACTCCCAAATGAATAAGTAAATAATCAACAATGATGAGAAAGGAACATCATCTATAAAATAAGCCCACATCCAGTAATAATTTGCATATCAACAGCAAATAATCGTAATATAAACAATATTAAATTACTGTTAACGTAAAGTATCCTGCAGAAATATTAGAGCCTTTGTTTTGATATACGCGTGCTTAATTGCGTCTGATTTCGTTGTTCACATGTGAAACCGATCTTCTGTTCTCTACTTCGTAGAAATATCTACAACTATACCTAATTGTTATAAACATTTACAGTATCTTTTGTAGATATGTTTATGCAAACTGAATAAGTTATTTGGGTTTGTGTGAACATTATAGGACCAGATTTGATAACTACAGGCACGCTTTTTTTGACTTTGACCAACAATGCTCGAGAAAGAACGCGCCAGGACGTTTCTTCACGTTTCAGACGGCACCGACCCAATTACATAAAGTGTGGATCGGCATTCTCACGTCAGCTAACGCGTTGAGCATTGGCAGTATCTGCCACGCATTGACTACCTCTCCACGCGCAGTGTAAATGTCATGTTACACGTCGCGTGGGTTGAGCATTCCACGCGCGTGCCGCCGCCGTGTAAAGAAATCAAAGAAACCGCTAGGACGCGTCTGTTCGCTCTAGACCGCATCGAACCCGTTACATGGAGCGTGGATTGGTAATTAACATGGCCTTATGATGTAAAAATATGTAATCGTACAAGAAACTTCTACAAATAAAACTGCAAATTACATAAATAATTAGTAACTACATGAAACAATCGGATTCTCATTTAAAAATTATAGCATAAACTCCCTATAGCGAATTCCTATTTAACAAAAATCTCCCTAAAACGTAGAAATTATACTTATAATTGACTTTGATTAGTTTACCCTATTACTCATTCGTACCTTAAATTAAGGTGATTATTAATGATTAGCGAGCGTTTAGCCACTATTATTTCAAATCGAAGTAGTTTCCGAAATACTGTAATGGGTAGTCACCGTGAGACACCCTGTAGATATATGTAGTTTATATCTTTCAGCTAATATAATACTATTTATCGTCTACACGACTTTAATTATTACTATTTACCCATCATATCATCCGATTATGTTATCTGTCTCTAATTTTATGATACTGTTATTTTATATATTGATGCGCTTTAGCAAATATGTATTTACCATTAAATAATGATCAAAGTATATATAAATTACAAATATTTTTTTGATTCCTTCGTTCCATAGAAATATTTATATTGTATGTGCATAGATATATTACTATCGATAAAAGTATTTCAAAGTAGTTGTAGCAGATAAATAGTAAAAAGCGAAAAAACTGTTCTAGAAGTAATTTTAAAATATCCTAGTACGCAAAATGAGAGAGGGGCAGACCTTATAGATTTTATATTAAATCTTTCAGCTAAGTCAGTGTTTCCCAACCTTTTTTTCCTTGCGAGAGCCAAAAGAAAGATCCGAAAAAATTTGACGAACCCCCTATGTAGTCGTTAATGACAGGTAAAAAAAGCAATAAAATTTGACAGAATATATACTTTTTCATATTGCATAATAATTGATTATATTAATCGTGAAATAGTTGCACTTAAAAAAAAAGACAATAATCTATCTCAAATCAATTACCAAGTTCAGAAACAAGGTAAAGAAACTCCTTTTGACCAATTGATAAAAACTGAACCGTTCCAAAAATGATAGCGAGAATTTCACATTAAGATTCTTTCTGCTTACAAAATAGCTTTTCAGATAAGTGAGAATTTCGTTTAATTTTTTGAAAAATTTAGAAAAGCATTTATTCTATCCACTTTGCAAATATAAATCTGTTAATAGACTCATTTCGAAATTTTTAAAAATGTATTTGGGCATTTTGTTTTTTCAGTTTATGCAAAAGGATTAAAGGCAATGTAAAACTTGATAAAAGATTATCTGAGTACCTTAAAATATGTCCTGATAACCAACGGAGGCGATAAAATGAATATTATCCAACACTATTAAATCCAGTAAACGGTCTGTCAGATTAAGTTTCACACAGTCACAAAAACTAAAACGATTCAATTCACCACTTTCATTCGTCACAATTCATTAAGTTTTAAGATCGCTATAAACGACCAATATAGTAAGCAACAACAGGCACTACCACACTATTAACCGCTACACGACGCGAATATTGAAGGTGGCGCGAGAAATGACATTTCGACGTTTAGTTTCGACGCCAATATTCCGGTAGCGACAGCACGTATTGTATTGTACGTATAAACAAACGTGTGTACGTGCTGACGACACGACCGACGTTCAGGAAAAGAGTGGAATAACGGAATAACAAGCCGCTGCGTCGCCCTTGCCGCTTTTCGTCGCCCGTCGGCGTCGCCGTCGACTATTTCATAACTGAGTCGGTCCTCCAGCCGGAAAACTGCGCAGAATGGATGGTATTGCCAGCAGCAGGACGTTCGCGTTGGGAAACACGAACATGGCCTTTCTGTTTACCTTTATCTTCTCGCTTTGGCACTTTCGATCCACGATCGAGAGAACCTTTCTCCACAAACACACTGACTTTGGTCTGACGCAAACCCAAACCTAGCGTTAGCGTCACGTTCGCGTTTGTTCGTTACCTACCGCGTTCGGGCTCCTATTGCGTCGCGTCGCCGTCCTATATACTGCTGATGATGGTTTATATCAGTATGTGCACCAATCGACCTGGAAAGAAAATAAATATTTGAATTAATGAGGTGTGAAGGCTTTTTAACTTGATAAACAGAAGAAGTTCCGGCAAAAAACGTCGGAAAACTTCAATATAAAGTGTCCGCTTGATTTACTTATTGAGGTATCAAGGCTTTATCGAAAAAATGACAGTTTTTTTCTTGGAAATGGCTTAAAATGACTCAATTATGAAAAGTTTATATGAAAAAAAACAGGGAAAGGTGTTTTTAAACAAAGACATCTTTCCTAACCTAATTCAACCCTACGTGATTTTGAGGTAACGTAGTAAAGAATTTCTATATATACTTATTTTAGATTAGTTTAGTTCTGTTTAAATTTTCGAATTATAAATATGCGTAGGTATATTTACAAAAAGAATTGTTTAATGCATCTTCTTTGTAAGTTTCTCATAATTGGGGCATTTCATGTTGTCGTGATACGAAAGTTTTACCCTTATTGATTATCAGACATGTAATCTGATAATATCTCCATTCGCCTTGAATTGAAATATCTCTTACTATCAATGAATATAACAGTGAGTAACCTGATTGAAAAACCCCTTTCCTTGGCTTTGTGAGTGGTCAATTAATGTACTACGGAGAATTTCTTTCA